TTTATTATTTATTTTTTTGGTACCGTATATATAAATTAGTCGAGTACACCAAATTGTTGATGATGAGAAAATGAAATAAGATTGAAAATGAAAAATGCAGGTATTAAAATATATTAATAGCATTATAGTAGTCAGCCATGATGGAATGACCCCTATAGTAGGTTACTAATTATTATTATGCTACCGTATATGGAAATTATGGTTTGTGTTACATATATATGTTTTTTACTTTTAAGTGTTGAAACCGAGTCATTTTCTAGATGAAAACAATTGAAAAAAAAAGAAATGTTGAAATGAAAGTGGGTAAAATCCCCACGAAAGAGAAAAAAAAAACAACTGTTTCTTGCATATGCTGTCACGTGTGTTAGTTGCCGGCGGCGGCGGGGCGAAAGTCTGTTCTGATTGATCCAAGACAAGATTGGTTGGAACTGCTACTGTGTTTCACAAAATTTCATATTGCATTTCGATCCGAAAGTTCAACATTTTGAATACGGCACTGACCTTGGCAATAATTTAATAATGATCAGAATCTCGGCTTACCTATGTATATTTTAAAGATATTTGGTGATCGAATGACTTTCAGATGAAACTACCGTAATAAACGCCAACAAACAACACTGTTTTCTGTTTTCATTTGTAAATGCGTACAATATTAGTTACTGTATATATTTTATATATAAAATTCAACGTATGTATTGGTATTAGTCACTATTTTTGCCATGTTTTCTGAAAAATAAATAGAATTCAAATCAGAAATGTTATTAAAAGTGAACTGAAAAGGACTTTCGGTAACGGCAAATGGAATCGGGCACGCCGTGTCTTGACGGTAGCAAACTAAATGCAGTACTGGATGTTTGTATTTATCTCATGATGTAGGCATAATTTATGAGATTAATGTAAAAGAGAATTGAGGAAAAAACTAGTCGACGAAATGCACAAAGTTAGTCTTAGTTTATTTCACTAATCAAAAGTTTACAATGAGGAAGATCAGATAATAAATAATACCAAGTCTAAAAAAAAAAAAATTCTAAAAAAAAAAAAAACTAATCTTATACACCATAAATATAATAACCCAGAGTAGGCCTAAATTTGTTCTGTATTAAAAATATATAATGTCTGTGTCAATATTATCTCCAATCGATGTCTTTAGATGTATATATTGCTGTATGAGTCAGAATATATATCTAAAAAACTGTATTTACGCACACACATTTTTTTAAATAACATATCGATTTATTTTTTTTTTTAATTAAGTGATGTTCCAAAAACAAACGTGTGCGTTATATGTTATGATTTAATTAAATACAAACATTTAAAATAATCAAACATTCTTGTCTGAAGTAATACTTAATCAGATTGGAGATAAACTAATTATATACTAATTATATATACCTTTGGAAGAATACAGTGCAGCCTACAGAATATCTTCACATTTGCATTGAACTTGCGTACTGTTATCCAAAAGCACGTCAATAGACCAAACCGTTAATGACGTCATCACCGTTACGACTGATGCGTTGCGTGTGATGACGAAATCAAGAGCATGGCGAATTAATTACGCAACATGTGGTTGCGAATTTTATTCTCCCATATTTTCTTCAATATGAATTAACAAATAGATTTCAATAATTAAAATAATTTACTTATTTTCATCGAAGATTCGTTTTACATTTTTTCTTACTGCTAGCCTACCGCATACTAACAACATTTTCAATTTCGAATTAGTTTTAATGGTTGGGGAAATTTCGTAAACAATTTTTTGAAAGACGTAACTAACATTGTTGGATTTTTTTCATTATATTCAAAACAAAAACTTCCCCAACACACACACCCACAACACACGTCAACCCCCACCCCACAAACCAATACAAGCTTCTCATGATTGATAAATACTAGGCCTAGGCCTATGGCAGTTTGTCACTTTTAACATTTCAATAACAGAACTCTCCGCTAAGCCACACCTCTTGGTTACTGTTGCTAATGTCCCAAGACAGCAAAAACGTAAAGACGTGCGCGTGTTCCTACCAACCGTGTTCCGATTGGTCGATTATTAAGTATGATTGACACTCAGAAATATGTAGCTAAAATACTTATACATGATCTTAAGGTCCTTCTAAACTTGTATTTATATTTTGTAGTACTTTGGTCCTGTATATATAAATATAATTATATTTAAAACTAATAAAATCATAATAACAGACAATATATAATTATATTGGACTACATTATGATTTATAAATAACTATCTTGCTACAAGGGCGGCCTCGTGTTAAGTTTAAATATAAACTGAAAATATATAGTAAAAATAAAGTGTTAGTATCAATGATTAACAACTCCCAAAAATTTTCCGTCCAATTAAATCGAAGAATACCATGCACAAGCTATATAAATTTGGACACATGCTAAGCTATTTTAAACATTAAAAGACAACAGAAGAAAAACATATATTTACAATGTTACGGCCTAACGTGTATCGCGCCCTTCCAACACAGACCGACTTCCTCTCTTATTTGCCAGGAAGCTAAGAAAGACCAACCTCAACAACAAAAAAGTTGGATTTCCTCAGTGGAAATGTAGTGGCAAACGGGGAATATGTTCCCCAATTCCACCCCACAAACCCTGTCTCTTATACACATCTAGATGTGTATAAGAGTGTACAACACTAAAAAAAATAATCCACTATAAATAAAAATCTGTTTAAACAAACAGGGGCTCAACCTTCAGACGACAAAACACGTTTTTTCCCATTTTCTTTTTCTTTTTTTTTCTTTTTTGTTCTTTTTCATACTAGTCGATGTGATAGGTATAACAATTGGTTCACATTAGCACGCATCAGAAGCAAAACGAGCGCGAACACGCGACTTTAACTCCATTAAAAAATACTTTTAGAACTGGGGATTCCATGGTCTTTAGCAGATAGAATTAGAAAAATTTGGGACCACAGAAAAGTAGGCTTTAATTGGTATTTCTCATTCTCCATCTGGTGATTAACCCTAGAGAGTTATAGTACCACCGGTTGCGGTACGCGCCCAATTTGAGCTACACGATAATTAACTGGCGTGGTTGCAATATTATCATTTGCGTAAAGCGTCAAAAAATTGCTCCAATGTGAACACAGTTGATATCCTTCACAAAATAAGGCGGACACACATTGTACTGTTGGTCGTCGGCCGACGTAATTCTATGGAGAACGTAACGCGAGACGATCTGCTCGAGACCTAACGCCCTGATAATTAGCAGACGGAGTTGTCAGGCGCTGGAAGAGCGGAGATAATATATAGGCCTATATTCGTCGGCCGACGTTCCTACGACATGTGTGTCAGGCCCCGGAGGAAAACAATGTTTTAGTATGTTGAACAACTGATTTTTTTTTTTTCAGTTGTACAACATATCAATTGTTTTTCCTCCGGAGCCTGGCTTTAATAAACTATATTAGCTTATCGGCTTCGCTGATGGAACAACTCGCATTAATTTCTGCAGGAAATAAGTAAATGTTTCTGCGGGAAAAAAAAGAAAAACATTGATCAATATGTTATACAGATATTTCTCTTTATCGCCTACTATTATGTCTTTAAAGTTAATACCGTTTGTATTTTACGAATTGGGCTAGTATGACTTCAAACCCCGCAGTTACATCTCTGATGCTAATACCTAGTTTAGAATTGTCTAAATTGTGCATACATACTGTAGGCCTACATACATACATTATGCATAGACGTATATTAATAATTATGCATGTGTAGGCCTATATATAAGGGACTTTTATCATCGTATGCATTTTAATCATCGTCATCACCACCCTCACCATCTTCGACATCTTCACCACCAGCGACATCATCTTCATCATCTTTTTTATCATCTTCAACTTCATCATCATCATCATCATCATCAATGCCGTAGCCCAGATTTTCAAACAGTGTGGGACAGTACCAGGGTAGACCTACTTTACGCATAAATATGACAAATCTGGACCCATTTTCTTGAATTTTACCGACTTTAAGCTAAATATGAGAAATCTGGAGCCATTTTTCAAAAAGTGGACCAATTTTATAAGCATAAAATTACATAATTTGGACTCATTTTAAAAATGTGGACCCATTAGAAAAATTGTGTGGGACTGTCCCAACTGTCCCAATAGCTGGCTACGGCATTGATCAATATCATCATCATCAGCTTCCTCATCATCTTCGCCATTCTCATCATCATCATCATTATTATCCTCATCGTTATTACTACATAATTTGTTTGAATATATGGCTTTTTTTCTCACAACGTTTTAGGTTTAATGCATAATTTAATAAATGATAATATTAATAATAATACAGAAATATAATATAGGTAATTTAAAGAGAGTAACTTACTGTTACACTTGAAAGATAATTTTTTATGAACAAATGGATAATACAGGAGAAGTCCAGCCAAGATGAAGATAACAGCATACAAGAAATCAAGTTCTGGTTTGTCAATTATTGGTGCAATTACAAGATATACTGAAGCAAGCAACACAAAAATGGGTATCACAATCGGTACCTAGAAAATGGAAGAAAGGTTAAAAGTTAAAGGTTATTCATTTATATTGCACAAAATACGAGTGTCTCTATGCGCAGAACAAGTGAGCAGATGTAACTGGAAAATAAAAAAATAACAGATGACAAAATACCTTCTGCAATTCACCTTCTAGTAGACAAGCCCTGTTCAGGCTCTCAATCTTTTCACAAAAACATGTGACATACCTATATATGGTCATGATGACATCACATCTTGACCATATATAGACACATCATGTCTATATATGGGCATACTGTAGTGTGGACAGAGCTTTAATTTAGGAAAGTAATGGCGTCACATTTTTTTTTTCGCGCATGCGAAACGTGGCGAATCTGGTTTTTGTCACAGTGGCGTATCTATCCTCCTTCCTCAAAGAAAGCTTGCGCCCTTCCTGGAAATTTTTGAAGCGAACAATGATGATAATGAAGTAGTTAAACTTTACCCCATGCCACGTAATATTTTTCCAGCTAGTTCCCCCTCACTTATTGAGTCACATTGTCGAGCAAATCTAGGCCTATTTAGGCGAATTATCTTACCTTGATTGGTCTCTCTATGTTGGGATATTTGTAACGTAAAACTAAAAGAGCGGTGAAGGTAGCCCCATAGAAAAGCCAAGCAGCGAAGCTGAAGTAGTTCACCAAGGTATCAAAGTCGTTTGGTAAAAGCATCAAAATAGCGATGAACGACTGCGTATAAAGAAAATTGTAAAACAATTACAGTCTATTTTCTCTATGGTCAAACAAACGTACATAGGACCTAACTTAAACAGAAATACAAACATAAAATACATAAGCGAAATAAATGGATTATTGTATATTTAAATTTATTTGTCTTGTTTTCTATTCTTTAAGTTTTGTTTGCTTATAATAATGCACAGTACTGTGAATTGGATTCCTTCGGTGTGATACACACCAAGAACAGCCCAATAAAGTCATGAGACCATTGGGGTCCTTCTGGTGGTGATTGGGCAGTACACCGGGAGACAATCCCCTACGCTTTTTAGAAGAGTGTATGCGTTCTTTAAAATGCACTGGACCACAATGCACACGGGATCGGCCGACCAACGGCTTACACGTCTCATCCGAAAGATGGTTCGCTATCGTAACTTGCATTTTAGCCCTCTAGCTGAAATACAAAGTGAGCAGCGATGTGAACAGTACTGTGTATGGCATTGTGATACCAAGATGGTATATGTTGCACTGTGTATGGTACAAAATGACAGTGGAAAAGCATATGACATATGGCAAGTACATTAGCCTAGGGTAGATCACTACAGTTCAGTATGGCATTGTGATAGCAAGATGGTATAATTATGTTGCACTGTGTATGGTATAAATGACGATGAGAAAGCATATGGCATATGGCATAGCCTACGGCAGAGATGGAACTTACTGTGAAAACAATGGATGGAAATGGAGTGAATCTCTTGATGTGGACCATAGATAGAATTTCCATCATGTGACCCTCTCGAGCAGACACGAACGCTAACCTGTAAGTGGAGAATTTCTTGTCAGAAACAAATAAATTTGAACTTTGAACCCATCCTTTGGGACACCCATATTAAGGGGACACCCTCTCTTAAAGGGACACGAAAACTAGGGAAAGTATATCTTTATCACTACGGCCAATCTCTATTCAGGAGAAACCCCAATTAAGGGAACACTTCTTTGGTCCCGAAGGTGTCCCCTTAATTGGGGTTATACTGTAGTTACCGTACTGATAAGTATATCCATGTTCTGCTTGTCCCTATAGACCGTTCCGTTAGCTGTATTGTGCACTACTATACGTTCTTCGGCCTCCTGATATTTTATACCGTTTTTTCCTAAAGCAAACTTTGGCTTATTTGTCGTGTTATTTTTTAATGTACTGTTGTATTTGGAACTATATATTTACTTGCACTTGGCCTGCCTAGCAGTAACCATCATGTGCTGCCATGTTCATGTGAAACTGTAAAATTTATATCTTTGTAATTCCTGCATCAACACTCCACCTCACCCCATCCAAAATACACACAAACATTGAGTGTTGTTGGGCGAATGTGTTTGGACAAAATATATAAACAATAATTTATCAATCATCTTCACAATACCACGAATTGTATAAATCTTAGAAAAGGAAATTTTATTTGAATTGCCGTCCTTTATTTTAGGGTCATTCTTCGCTAATGTGCCATTTTAGAGGTTTAGAAATCATGAAAAAAAAAGTTTAACATTTGTAATTCTTTTATTACACATGTCATCATTATGCCATATAACAACTATAATAAACATTCGGCAGGATAATTAGGGCATTTTAAACGTTTATTTAAGCATTCAATTTTCAGTGCTGTAACATAGCAAATATTGCAAGAATCATCTCCATCACACTTTTTGTGACGGAGATGATGATATACATATAGATGTGAATCTTAGTAAATTTAAAAGATAGATTGTATTATTTAAATATAGGATAATATACAATGAACAAACAGGTTTCGAACAACGTAAGTCGTATGAATTACCA